ATTCCTTACTAAATGTAGTATTTCATCTCGATGTACGTACTCCGTCTTTGATATGATTTAAAACAAGTTCCTTGTCACTATAATTCGCTTCCGATAGTGAAGAAAGTAACAGAGGTTATTGAAAACGAAAAAATTTCGATTGACAAATTAGTCAGTGTTCTAGACACAGCAATTATAGGACTTGAACAGCGGAACTTTGTAACTAAACAAGAAATTATGTCTGTTTAATAAAATTAAAGAGATGTCTGTTTAATAAAATTAAAGAGAAAGTATTATCACATAAAACAAAGCAACTTAAACAACTTACATTGAAAGAAATGTTTAATAAAGTAAACAAATAAATATTAAGCTTTTTTTTTTGTAAATTTTGATACCCTTTAGATCATAATTGTTCTTTATTTCATAAATTATGGTTTCTTATTTTTATTTTGTAATTTCTGCATGCCATCTTATCAGATTTAAACTGATGATCTATAATTCGGAAAAATCGATAATGCGGAATTGCTGATGAGTCCGGATTAACGACTTTTGACTGTAATATCTCAGGTTCAGTGTATTTTATGATAATATTGTTCAGTTATCAAAGTTATTGGTTCTTAATTCTGAATTCCTATGAAGAAATTTTATTTGGCAGTTTATTATTGCCTTAGTTTACCTTTATGCATTTTTTCTAAATTGAATGGTTCTTTTTGATATTGTGAATCTAATTGAAATTAATTGTGTATAATATGGTAATGGATGTATTATATTTTGTTTGTACCATAGTTTTTATTTAAATTAGTTAGACTCAGTTTTGAAAGTATTTCGTATTTGCAATACAAATTATGAAAGTATACTCTGTTTATTGTTTGAATGCTTTCTTTAGGGTTTATTAATGACTATGTTACTTATATCCTTGTGTTCTTGAAGGCCTTGTATGCCACTGTAAACTTATTTTGCTTAGTGATAATAAATAGCTTCTGGAGGCAGGGGCTTTAATCCGTGTAAAGGCAGACATCATGTCAGCTAGGTAATGGAGCCCCTGTTCTCTGGTTAACAGTCTGGTCATGTCTGTACACCTAGTTAAAACTCTTAAAATGCATATCTATAGTGAACCACTATTAAGAGATATGTTTCTCTATAGAAAAGGATTTCTACAAGAAATTTACAAATAACTTACCATTATTAAATAAATTTATAAAAATATTTTGTGTTTCTTCAGATCTGCGAAGCCAATTCCATGCTTCTGCAACTCCAGTTCTGTGACTGTGATTATTATTTATATGGATAACAGCACAGTAACCTTCACCGATCAAAGGATCTCTGTAGCGAGTGTATTTGCTGTTTCATTTTATTCGAATGTTTAAAGAAGTAGTGAATTTCTTATCTTTACCTTCAGTCTAAATTAAAAAAGGAAGATCATTATTTGAAAACAGACCAGACGTAGTTTAAAATAAAATTTTCACAGAATCTCTTTACATAATGAATACAGAATCTTGATAACATTCTTAACAGAAAGAAACCTTTAATTTTTGTGTGATTAAAATTTCTATATTTAACAAGCACAGCTTTAAGATCAGTAGCTTGACATTGACCATCATAAAAATGTTATAAAAATAATTTCATCTTATAAATTAGTCTATTGAATATAATTACATGATTTCTATGGAAGATGTACTTACAAAAAAAAAAAAAAAAAAAAAAGTTTACAAGCAGAGGGTAATTGACTGATTAGGTTAATAAAACATGTTCATTATGTCTCAAGTTTCCATTAAAAGTGGAATTGCTGCAAAAAATGGATAAAGGCATATCCTTTGTTTATCTTTAACGCCACGGCGTGCAATGAATTAGAAGTTGATCTGTCAGCACTATCCTTATCTTCAGGGCAGATGTTTTTATTTTATTTGACTTATAATTCTTTACTAAATGTGGTATTTCATCTCGATGTACTCCGTCTTTGATATGATTTAAATCAAGTTCCTCGTCATTATAATTTGCTTCCGATAGTGAAGAAAGTGACACAGAGGTTATTGAAAACGAAATAATTTCGATTGACAAATTAGTCGGTATTCTTGATACAGCAATTATAGCACTTGAACAGCGGAACTTGGTCTGTTTAATAAATTGTCTGTAAACAAGAAATTATGTCTGTTTAATAGAAATAAAGAGAAAGTATTATTATAATAAGAAACGAAGCAACTTAAACAACTTACATTGAATAATAAAGTAAACAAATAAATATTAAGCTTTTTCTTTTTGTAAATTTTGATACCCTTTAGATCATAATTGTTCTTTATTTCATAAATTATGGTTTCTTATTTTTATTTTTGTAATTTCTGCATGACATCTTACCAGATTTAAACTGATGATCTATAATCCAGAAAAATCAATAATCCGGAATCGCCGAAGTCCCGACGAGTCCGCATTAACGACTTTTGACTGTATATAGCTTTAACTTACCTTTGAGAATATTCCCAAGAAAACCACTACAAATTTGTTCTAGAATGTTCTTGCTTCGTCTACAGTATATCACCAAATATTATGCCAAACCTGGCAACCTTGCCTTTCCCTGCCACATACTAGGAAACATTAATCCGCTTTGCAGGGAAGCTATCTGACTGCAGCTGGGCATTAACTGCTTTTCTTAGGCAATGCATAAGATGTGAGAATTTTCAGTATGCCCATGCAAAGATTGGAAAAACAAAAAATTAATCATGCAAATTTTTTAAATCATTCCTTAAATTTTTGTCCTTTTCGTCTTTAATGCCAGCCTAGCCCCAAAAATAGAATAAACCCTTTCCCCACTAAAATCCCTTATTTGGAAATCAGCTAATTCTCTTAGATTAACAGATGCAAGTGCACCAGAAAGGCAGAATTTTTCAATGTAATTTTAAACTGATAAATCAGTTATTTAAGTTTTTAAATTCAAATAATATTCAAAATTTACTTAAGATGCTTGTCTCTTTTAACCGAGAAAGCCGTAGAAGCTAAGGCTAAAAGCCGAGTGATTTTGCATTTTTGTGACATTTAAAAAGTTGTTTGGCTTTATTTTTTGCTTACTTGCTTAGTTATATTTTATTTAACGTTATAAGGAAACATAGTCATAGGGAAACAGCGAGCAGCATTTGAAATATCGTAATTTTTTATCATAAGGATGGAAATTCAATTCGGGATATTGCTAAAATAGTAAATTTATCCTATTCTGTGGTGCAGTATGTGATAAAATGCCTTAAAGAAGAAAATCGGATCCAAAATAAAGTAAGAAGGGCTTCTCCAGCAAAGAGGACACGACACGACTCAATGAGATTAGAGATTTTTGGCTAGAATCTCAATGAAAAATCCAAGTGTTTTAAAGATTTCTGTAGAATATACTGAAAAATTTTTCTACTTAAATTTTATTTAAAACTACTTTACGAATACTCAGATCAGCTGTATTACATGGGCGCTCTGTACGAAGAAAATGTTTTGGAGTGCAAAGAGTAGAAAGCTTAGGCTTTTCTTCTCAGAATCAAAGATAAAGAAGCCCTAAGCCTATTGGAATCATGTCTAATTTGCAGATGAAAGCAAATTTAACATTTTTAGTTTCGATGGTTGTGTAATTTTACGGAGGGGGGAAAGAAAGAGCTTACCTTGGGTTGGAACAGTAAAGCCATGACAGTGGAGGTGTTCTTGGGTGAGGGTGATAAAACAACGGTACCTAAAGCAATCAAATTTTGAATAACATATGTTTCCACCTGAATATGGGCATCTAGAAGCCCAAATTTGGAATTTGGAATTGGTTTTACTATCTATTTTGTAAAACTAGAGGGGGAAATTTTTTTTTATCTTCAGCACGCGAGACTTTATGTTGGAAATTCTAAAGGTATGCTCATTTTAAAATTATTATGCACTAAATTTTATGGTTTAAGGGCGAAGAACATGATATTTAATAAATAAGGGGAACACACAAAATGTTAAAAAAAAAAAGCCTCTTTGGGTGTAATGTAAAATCTGAAGGTGTTCAGATTCTCTTATTGCGAATAATGTTTCACCACGTTACTGTCAACTGCTGGCAACTTGAGAATGTCTAACACACAGCTGCCACAAATAGTTTCCTAATCATTGTTAACTGAATACCGAAAACAATTTGTATGCTTGAATGTATATAATCATTGATGTAAGAAATCATTCATAAGCTGTAAGGTTTTCTGTTGCGTTTGGTCTGAAGAACATACGATTTGACAAATATCAGCTAATACATAAATTTTGAAAGATGCTTTTCACAATTTCAAGAAGTCGTTCATCATAATTTGATGTTTTCCTTCTTAACACTCCACAGGAAATTTTTAAAAACATGTTGTACATTTTTCAGTTGGATCAAGCTTTTAATCTGAATTCGGGGCCAAAAATAATTTCTTAAATTGAGATCCTATAGAAATAAAGTTGCGATTTTGCCATTTCCTTTCTTATGAAATAAATTTCGTAGGGATGCGAATGTTAAATTATTCATTCATCACATCAATTAATTTTTTCATAACTACTGTATTTGTAACTTCCTTTCTATGAAAGTGACATATGGCAAATGCAAAATATATAATTAAGCAAATGTCATTCTAATTTTTGAAAATATTTCATGAGCAGTAGATGATTAAAAGGTATAGTGGAGAAAGCTATAATACATATTTTTTGGGGGGGGAGAGCGGAACACAAACCACAAACTTTTTTTTTTGTATGCTTTACACATGTGCATAAAGAATGCGAGCGGATACATTAAATGCATGCGCATACATTATGTGCATTGCCCCTGCGCATAATGTACAATTTTGCATTGCGCCTGCGCGTAATGTATGCTCTACGCATGCGCGCATTGAAAGAAATATTTAATAAAGTAAACAAATAAATATTAAGCTCTTTTTTTTTCTTTTTGTAAAATTTGATACCCTTTAGATCATAATTGCTCTTTATTTCATAAATTACAGTTTCATATTTTTAATTGTATAATTTCTGCATGCCATCTTACCAGATTTAAATTGATAATCTCTAATCCGGAATCACCGAAGTCCCGACGAGTCCGGATTACGGACTTTGTACTGTACAATTTTTGGACAATGTTTTCTGAAAACAAAATTTTGGGCTTTAAAGCCCAGTGAAAATTATACCTCATACCTCAATGGAAAGAAAAAGCAGTATTTTATGTAGCCTAGCATGTGTGGAATTATGACAGTGTACTTTAAATGTGATGGCTGCGACCATACCCACAAACACGCAAGCGAACCGATTTATTGACGAAATAGGGAGGATGGAACGTAAATCATGTAGTAGGGATTTACAGGAAAATTACTTTTGCTAAAATATATAGTTCTATTACTTTTAAAGATCTTGTTCATTTTATTTTCATCATATGTAAAAGTACATTGATGTGCAAGTTTTCCTTCCATACCTTGGATTTTCTGGGTATGAAAAGTGTTAAGAAAATTACAGATTGAACTTAGCCAAAGAACAAAACTTATGATATCTAGTTAAATAGTAATATGTTTTACATCAGAATCTTATTATAAGTAATTCAGTAATGTGAATAATGCAGTATAAAAGAATTTCAGTTTGAAATGGCATTAATATGCATCACAAAAATCTCCTGGTTTTTCATATTTCATATTTCAAGCTATGAGCTAGTAACTGGTAGATTTGTGGTTTTAATTCTTGTCAGAGCAAAGTTGACTTTTTTTGTTTCCCAGTCAAAAGACTAGTATCTACAGTATATTAAATCCCTGTAATTTTAATTTGTTGTTTAAATTAAAACTTTTCGATGAAGGAGATGTCTGCAGTTACACTAAAGCATAACTTTTTTTCAGAAGATATATGGAATTATTGAGAACATTTTATTCATGATTGTAAAAATAAATATTTAGTTTTGTGATAGAATATTTTTAAATTATAATTAGCAATTTTTTGTAACTTTCAGATTTAGAGGATGTTCCACTTATGAGCCTTTCAGTGAGAAATCTAATAGCTTAGGTAACCGGAATAAAACTTCCAACCAAGAGTATTTTGAAGATGAAGAATATGACAAACCATTAGGATTTAATAGAAAGCCAGGCAGTATGTATAACAAACATAGGAGATCATATGAGCAGGAATATCACCAGGATGGAAGTTATGACAGACCATATCATGAGAGACCGAAGTTTAAAGACCAGAGATATGAGAGAAATTCATATTTAAGATCTCGTCCAATAGATAATGTATATAGGGATAAACGGCATGGATTTAATGAGAGCAATTTTTATGATTCTCAAAATAATGGCAAAACATTTAGGTTTTCTTCAGATCCAAACCATATATTTAGTTCTATGTCAAAACCAAAATTTGATCTTCAGAATCTGCCACCAGTGGAAAAGTATTTTTATAATGAACATCCTGATGTTGCTGATAGATCAGAGGTAAGTACTTTATAACAGACTCAATAGTGTTATTTTATTAATATTTATATTATAAAAAATTTCTTATTTGAATTACATATATAAATTATTGATTTAATTGTGTATTAATTCCCAATGGTTTTGAACTGTTGATGAGGGATGAAAGGTAGTATAAAAAATTAAACATTAATGTTTGAGCTTGATGTTAGATTTTGTGGTATTAAATGTAGGGCAATTATGCTTTGAAAAATTATATTTCAGTTATTTACAATATGCTTTGAAGTATTTTATTCCAGCTAAGATTCTGAAAAGCATTTTAATGTTTTTATACGGTTTTACTAATAGCATGACTCATAAAAATGACATAGCTCTCAGATGCACTCAAATTAGAATACTGTTAGTATTATATTTCGTTCCTCTTTAACTGATTTCCAAAGTGTGAAGAGGGTTTTGGTCAATGTTTAGTCTGTCCCCTTTTTTAAAGTCCAAAGGTGCAAAAATCCAAATGTGATACAATTTAGTAGGGATATGAGTGCCTTGATATCCATTTCTTGTTCTATTTTTTCCCCAAGACATTTACAGTGGATTTTGACTTTTTGGCTGTTCGTTTTCTTTTGATGCAGCTCCATTGATTGATGGCTCTGTATGTAAAGAGAAGATATTTCATATTTGAAAATAGGATATAAAATATGTTCCTGGTAATATGTGGAGTTGCGTTTAGCTTATTACTCCACTCTCTTTATATTTAATTTTTTTGTTATATGAAAACCAGTAACAATCATAAATCCCTTTCAAATATTTTCTTGAGATTCTTTGAATCATGTTTTAAGATTTTTTTCTCTCCTTTCATGAGAATAAATGGATATTTTTTTTTTTTTTCCGATCATATAAACACACACACAATTCATCTATTATGAAAACATTTGTATATTTTTGTTCGGATATATGTTTCACATAAAGAATTCTGCTGCATGTTCTGCATTCGGTGATGTGTCGTAGAGAAATTATGTTTTTTCACCTTTTTCAGATTCACATAAGCATTAACCACTTTGTTAAAGACTTTGCAACGGTCTTTTGACTTGGTGGATTTTCTTTTAATATTAAAAACCTTACCTCTGTAACATTTGAAATGTTCCTTTTTTCCCTTGGATATGTGTTTGGAACAATTTTTCCACGGGAAGCCAAATTGTGACGTTTTCCCCCTTTCTTTAGATATCGAAAACCTCTGGCTTTCAGAGCATTTTGTTATAACTAGATACAAAAAATTTTCTTCAGAAAGAGCAGAAACATATCCTTCAATCCACTGCTTCTTTAAAAGTGCCATTTTGGATGAAAACAAAACAGTCACGTAGCAGACGATTATTTGTGCTTTCAAAAAATATATTTGTAGTGAAAAAAATAAATAAATAAATAAATAAATCTTTGAAATTTTTTATTCACATTATTTTTGTATTCATTTTATGTAGGTTTTAAGCTGGAGATCAAAACAATACAGCTAGAAATGTTAGGGTTAACATTTTGTTTATTTTTATGCAGATGTGTAAACCTGTTATGAGACCTGCAAGCTATCTATACATCAAAAGAAACATTTCCAGGAATCTTTGATTTTGGAATATCTTACTGGTTAATTTATGTAAAAAAACGGTTCTTTTGCGTGAGACAGAACTACAAGCAAAATAATTTTTCACTTAAGTTCCAAAATGTTCTGCACACATGGTTGGAACATCGCTTTTAGTGAGACTGTTTTAACCCGCGGGAAGGCGCGTAGGGTGTTACATAAAAGTGGAATATTCCTAACTTGTGAAACTGAAATTCTGTGCTGCTTTCATTAGCTGAGTTTCTAGTTGTGGTTGACTTTCAGAACCGCCTTTTTCTTTGCCTGTGTGTTTTAGAAAAAGATTTATCGGTATTTTTTTGGAACTGGGGTATGACACACCCCACACGCCTGTTCGCATAAGTGTTTTTCTGACTGAATATTTAGTTCAGAAAGTTATTTCTAGAGTGTAACAGTAAATATTTCTACTCGCAAGTGATTTTAAAGTACTTGACATTAAATTCTTAAAAATTTTCAACTGCATTATGGTAAAAAGAATGACTCCCTATGAACTGGAGATGCAATGCCTGTGAGATTTATTAGAAATATTTGAAAGCGATGAAGACTGCATTTCGGAAACTGAAGAGGAAACTAGGAATATTTTCTACACTGTTTTGGTTTCAAAAAGATAAGACATTAATTCCTGAATGTTTCTAAAAAAAAGGGAAAACTGTTCTTATGCTTATATAACGGTTATATAACATTATATAACGATCATACTATATAGTGATACTATTGGAGAAAATGAAACGTCAGGAATTGTATGTTTTTATAATATGACTAAAGAAGCAGTGGATATGGGGGACGAAATGTCAGCCAATTGTTCAATTGCCAGAATAACAAGGAGGTGGCCAATGATAATTTTCTTTCCTGCACTGAATGTTGCTGTAATAAATGCTTGAATTATATTTCATTCAACTGCTAATCCACCAACCAGAAACAGAAGGCTGTTTTTGAAGGACTTAGCATTACAATTAATAAAAAAAAAAGTATTGCACAAAGATCAGAGATTAATACTTTACCAAGAAACTGACGTACTGCATGCAAAACAAAAGCAGAAGTTTTGACGAAGAATTAAAACGAATACATGAAATTCGAAACAACTAAGTATGAAAGATGTGATAATTTTTTTGCCCTCGCGCCAAGGACAGAAAGAAGAACGTGACTGCAATGTTTAAAATGTGAAAACATTCTGTGTGAAGAAATAAAATGAGCATTGTGTATTACATACAATGAAACTTAGAGACATGATGTTTATTTTTTTATTATTTTCATTTATCTTAATTTTAACTATAAGATTATTTTGGAAATTAATCTTATGAAACCCAATTATTATTCACGTTTTTATAATACACGAGAACAAGAAAAACAGCTTTAAAACTAAATAAAACTATTTTTATCGTATTTTAGATATTGGGGTATGTGATACCCCACGCACCCACTCTAGTAACTTTTCTTGGTGCGACTTCCGCCGGGTTAACTAGGACCCTCCCATTCAACCAGTGGCATGATAGGAGAAACTCATTTCTAGCATTGTATGTCACTAAATGTGAAACATAAAACTGCCCATCAAAACTCTTATAATACGAGATGATAAGATAGCACAGGCTTAATTCTGCCTGTTTCATGGGGAGAGTATAATTTTGATAGTACTTTTGGTGTTAAGGCAATCTTATTTTCTTTTAGGGAATTTAGCCCTAAAAGAAAATAAGATTGCCTTGAATTTTTTGTTAGAGGAAAAGTCAGTCACAAAAGAGCATTTCATTTTTGTCCAAAGCTAGGAAAGAATGCTGAAAATTGAGTGCTACAAGTTTGCTGTCTGTCAGTTGCAAGTACATTATTCTTGCTGATGGAAAAAAAAACTGATGTAATTAGCTTATATCTGCAGAAATTTAAAATTGGCAAAACCTAAAAAAAATTTAGAATGTTATATAAATATTTAAAACATATTAATTAATAATACTTTCTAATTTACTCTTTTTAATGAAAAAAGTATTTTATTTAAATATGGATTAAAATAAAATAGTTCATTATTACTTTGAAGTGGCATGTAATTTTGATAAAGGAAAAATTCTAAATATTCTTTATTTATGACCATACTTGTACTCAATAACACAAAAATGTCTTAATCTAATATTGAAACTAAGTAAAAAAAAAAAAAAAAAAAAAAATGTCTGAAAGGTTTCAGATTTATATTACACCCAAAGGGCATTTTTTAAATTTTTGTATGTTACCTTTATTTATTAAATATCATGTTCTTCGTATTTAAACCATAAAATTCAATTCAACAGCAATATCACAAAATATTTAAAGAGCATATCTTTAGCATTTCCGATGCACAGTGTTGCCATTGCTTGCTATGAAATCGTTGAATTTCATAATCAAAAGCTCATAAATGCTTAACAAAGTATGAAGTAGATAATAAAACAAATTCCAAATTTGGGCTCCCAGATGCCCATATTTGGGTGGAGACGTACGTTATGCAAAATTTCATGTCGCTAGGTAACATTTTATCACAATGCGAGAAACATATATACATTTCTGCAGATTCCTCATTATTTAATTTTTTAAATATAATACAGGGCTCTAATATTTGGTGGCAACAATTTAAAAAGTGATTTGCTGTTTATAGTGAATAAACACCAACTGTCAAAACGAAATAAATAGCCCTTCTGGGCAAATTGCCCCTTTGGGGGCAAAAAAATAAAAGTCATTCTTGATTTGGTTATTCTCATCTTCTCAATCCAGTATGATTAACTATGTTTCTAATACCAGTAAACCAAAGTAAATTCATCAGTCGCAGATGAAGTTCTTCAGAAATGATTTCAGGTTTAGAGTGCTGCTTTGTCTAAATGTTTTAACAAAATGGCTCTAAACATGGAACTGCCTCTAACTTATTCTTTCAGTTCTTTTGATTACAGTGATACAATGCTAACATATTATCTTTCAAACAAAATTATTTGATTTAAACCTAAGCACATTTTGATATTATAGGATATATCATGCAATGTTCATTCTTGAAAAGAATTTTCAGTTTAGTTAACACTTAAATAAAATGTGAAGGGAATGTTTGCTGTGCTTGTAGTGGTTCTTTCTGTAACACAGATGTGATTCTGAATTTTTGTGTTGTAAAACAGGATTTCTGTAGGATCTTGAAGGGGGGGGCAATCACTGTTTTTAGAGACTGAGAATAGGATGTATTTTGTTCAGTCCATTGTTGTGAAAAGCAGATATTTAACACATTCTGTACATTCATGTCAAAGTATCATTAGGTTATATTTTATGTTGTAAATCACTGGTTTCTGGGGGGGGTGTATATGGAAGGGAATTCTATCATGTTGACTGCACAAAAAGCGAGCTAACATGCCTAAATATGTATTCTCATTGACAAAAGTATAACTAGTATTATTTTCCCAGATTTGTAATATTATGATGTATTTTTATGTATATAATGATGTATTTTCTAATTTACATTCCATATAATTTTGTTTCTGTGTTCAAAAGGAAGAAGTTGAAAAATACAGAGAAGAGCTAAATATAAGGGTTCAAGGAAAAAATGTACCTAAGCCAATCACGAAATTCTCGGAATTGTGCTTGCCAGGTTAATATTTTTTATAATTCTGTGCATTTTTTTGTGTTCAAGTTATTTTATTTAAGAGATTATTATTATTAGGGATTATTGGGATATTATTAGATTAATGGGGGTTATTATTGTTGCCATATATGTTACATAGCATGAGTATAAAAGTAGATTTGAGGAACGAAGGATATTTTATTTTCATACTCATACATACACACAAGACAGACAAAGAAAATAAAAATAATAAGTAAATGAATAAATTTTCAGATTAATCATTATAGCTAACTATGTATTCAGAAAGCAGAAAATTTTATTTTCAACTTGAAATATATATATATGTACTAGTAAAATATATAACCAATATTTTTTAAACATCAGAAATCAAGACGTATTTTTGAGATATAAAAAATCAAGGCATATTTTTAAATATTAAAAATCATACTCAAATATTTTATTTATTATAATAACAATCATAAATACATTTTGTGTTGATAAAAACCACATGCCCTTGTATTGATGTGGGCTTTTATTTATGTGCATTTTCATCCATTGAGTGTTTGTTGTATGTTCAATTATCACAAATAGGTTGTTTTTGTGGGCTTTTTTTCACATGCTTTTGTCACATGGGCTATCATCAATTAACCCTGTCAAGCATGTCACCACAGATGTATATGTAAGTTCAGGTGTAAGATGATGATCACATTTGCCATAAAAATTGCTAAGGAATCCAATATCTCAGTAGGCTGTGTGCACAATAATGTTCATGAGCTGCCGGAAGAAGTTGATGTCTCAAGGCAATCATGAAGCTATAAATTTGTCTTTTATGTATGCGAGACCTTCATCGTAATGTGGTTTCTTGATGTATTAACCTGTACATAACGTGGGCTATTCTATAAATCATACAACATTCATGGTACAGAACAGCACTTTATTTACAATACAAACAAATAACAAGATATAATTCACGCGAAGTTAAAAACGTAATGTTTCTTGTGGCTTGCAGTGTAACATACATAAGCCTTATTCATGGCACCCCCTTCTTGCAATGTCTGTTCTGACTTGGTCTCGCATGGCAGAGAGGCGAATGCACTTGCTATTTAGGCTAAAATGCTCTTGCATGGTAGATCATGATGTTTTCCCCATAAAAGATTTGATAGCATATTTCAATAACCTGTGAAATCCATATTCAAACATTTTACATATTCAATCCATATGGAAACATATCAAGCTAGATGATATTTTAAAGCTTAGTTAACTAATTCTTACTACAGTATAAAGTCCAAAATCCAGACGTCCATTATCTGGAATAATCTAAAATCCGGACCTCAAAACCACCAACGTTTTTCTCCTAGGCTACGCATCCGCATTTGATTCCCCCCCCCTCAGCGCATAATAAAACATCTGGAGAGTTCCGATTCTTAATTTCACTCTGACACTAAATAAAATGCCTTGATATTGAAGAAACAATCATTTTAGCATAAATTTGTACGATAAGTAACTTGGCTCCGTTGCTGCACATCTGCTTGGCACGTATTTCAAACCGAACGAAACATTCCACATAGATATATCATTGATTTGACGTCAACCTGGCGAATCATTATTTATTATACGTTCCTTTCATCACCGCATATTTATCAAAACATGACAACTTAAGTAATGACTCATGTAGCGATGCCTAAACAATTTTTTTTATGTTAGTAATTGAATAATAAGGCCCGGTGGTCCGGGGTTCGATTCCCGCTGGGCAAGGTCGACTCAGCCTTTATCCCTGATTTCATCACTTGGTCGATAAAATGAGTACCCAGTCGTTGGGGACTACACACTGGGGGTCCTGCGACAAGCTTACCACTTGTTCAGGGCATATGCTTACGCACCCCGGGGACCACGGTCAAGAAAGCAGATTTCGGGCACTGCAAGGCTTGGTCCATTAGGGCTGTTATGCCACTGGGTTTAGTTTAATTGCATAATAAAGGAGTGTGGTAACCTTTTATGTTGGCATTACACTTCTCGATGATTACAGATTTAAGTTAAATGTGCTAAAAATGTTGATGATTAAAAATTTACCAAAAATTTCTTTCCATATGCTAAAAATAGATTTTGTTGATGACACTCATAGACCCAAAGATTACATTTAGAACTATTTGAATTAAGAATAACTGATTTGTTATTCACATAAACCCAGAACCAGCGCCAGGGCTTGTATGGTCGCACTGAGTTGCAGAATTTAGGACTCACAGAGACTGCATCAGGCAGTAAGATATCTAGCACCAGCCATCAAAAAGGCTTAAGTATGTGTGGGAATTTATTTATTCAAAACTCTGATAAGCCTTAAGCATGTGCAAGAAATAGACATAATTATACTAAACTAATACAATTCAGGCTTAATTGTCTCAGTCAACGATAGAAGCAAGTTAAAATTTAACGGAACAACTTGTCGTTAGTCACCAAGCTCACGATGCATAGCCAAATAAGTATAGTGAAGGATAGCTAAATTTGATGATGATAGCCGCTGATTTTAAAGGTTTTTTGATATTGTTAAACAAAAGTAAACTTCTTCAATTAACGGATTTTATAAAGAAATTTGGAGAAGCAGTAATAAAATGATATATAAAAGAAGCTTTTCATTGTAATGACAATGCTTCTCAATCATCAATCAATTAATGAATGGCGAAATCTGTAGTATGTAGTTTTAGATCCACAAAATACCGCTACCAGTAGGGAAGAAAGTGACAGAGAAGTTACTGAAAATGAAAAAATTTTGATTGACAAGTTAATCGGAATTTTTGACACCGCAATTACAGGACTTGAACAGTGGAACTTTGAACAAGAGATTATGTCTGTCTACAGAATTAAAGAGAAAGTATTAGCATAAAAAACGCAACTAAACAAATTATATTGAAGAAATGTTTGAAAGGTAAAAAATAATAAAGCTTTTTTTTTTTTTTTTGTTTTTTTTTTTTTTTTTTTTTTTTTTTTTTTTGTTTTTTTTTGTAAAGTTTGATACCCTTAGATCATAAATATTTCATCTCTACATATAATAAAATAAAGAGTCTGTCTGTGTGTGTGTGTGTCTTTCGTTCGCGTTGCGCGTAAGCTAATAGACCCACGGCTACAAAATTTGGTACATAGTTGCATCTAGACAAAAGCCAGTGCACCTTGAAGCGATTTTTTTCGAAATTCAAATTAGAATTTTTTTAATTTTATGTTTTGTGACGAAATCACGTCATTTTGAGACATAATGGGCTATAGTAAAGCGAGATTTTACTCTACACAGTCCATTTTCACATCGTCATGAAACGTGGGCACTTAGCTATTTTACGAACTTAAAATAAATTTCGTGTTTCAATAAATCGATTAAATACGAATTTATTTAACTGAGCTTAACACCTTTTCAACGGGATTTTTTCTAAAAAAGTTTATTCTTAAAAATGTACAGTTTATTTTTCTTTGATTTTTGGACATGTTAAACTTTTATCCTTGCGACTGCTTTTACATAAAGAATTTTGGAAAAATTATAATATTTTGTATTTTTAAAAAAAAATTTAAATGAAGCTTTCGAGTACACTTCTCACATCTCGCATCTTTAAAAATGTGTTTTTGGCAACAATTTTCGTGTCTTATTGTTGTTGATAGATTTTTGATGTAATCGCATCATTTTGAATAGTTTCATTCTTTTAGAAATATGGGTTTGGCAACAATTTTTCATCGTATTTCTTATGTCACTGTTCTTAAGAGATTGGCATATTTCATTGTCATTTCTTTATATATATATACATTTTTATTGTTTTTTTTTTTTTTTTTTTTTTTTTTTTTTTTTTTTTTTTTTGATAAAGTTGTTCTGTAGAGTAAACTTCTGCACGAAATTTTATGTTTTTTGAGTTGCTTTCATGTTATTTTTTGCTTATTTCACTGTTTGTAAGATTGAAAAGTTTTGCATGATTTTTTTTCTTCAACAGAAAGTTCGTTAATTTTTTTATTAGGATAATTAATATTTGTATGAAGGGATATAGCTTATTTCACAGTAATTTTTTCTCTTGAAAATATAAGATAAATTATCATTAATTACTTTGCTTTTCAGAATTTTTTTTAAATTCTTTTATGTTATTTATTGCTCATTTCACAGTTTTTAAGATATTGATAATGTTTTGAGTGATTTTTTAGGAAACAAAGTCCTTTATGCGATTTGATTTCTTAAGATTTTGCAAAGGGAAGTTGGTTAATTTATTTATTAGGATAATTAATATTTGTATTAAGGGATATTACTTATTTCATTATAATTTTGTTATACGTAATAACTTTTTTTTTTATGAAGTTGTTCTGCAGAGTAAAAATCTATGCAGTTTTTAAATTTAATGTTTGGTGTTCTCTTCAGTCATTTTTCCGGTACATTTTAAAGCCAGACGTAGCTATTTCATAAACCACAATTTCATATTTTTTATTTTATAATTTCTGCATGCCATCTTGCTAGATTTAAACTGATGATCTAATATCTGGAAAAATACCAAATCCGGAATTACTGAAGTCCTGATGAGTCCGGATTTTGGACTTTGTACTGTATTTTCAATTAAAATTACTTTGATATAAATTCAATAATTTTAATCATTCAAAAGTATAACATTCAATTAACTTTTACTTAAACCTGAATCTTTAAATTATCTTAAGCACATAAACAAAATAACGCAAATCAATCATTAATGTTAAATCAATTAATCATTAATGCGATGAAGTACATATTTGATGATATAGAGGTTGTTGGAATTAAGAACTTTTAATGTAGATAACCCTAATGTTTCACTTACAGAAAGACTTTGGAATGATCTTACAGAATTGGAAACTCTTCTTTCTACACTGTATATAGCTACAAAAAAGCTACAATCTGAAGAATTAACAGAAGGCGACAGAATGTGATGTTTGTTCTTTCTGAAATAGAAAGATTATTGCAGAAGGAATCATTTCTTCAATCAAGAAAGGAGAAACTAGTTTGGTAGACAATGAGATCTTGCTGGGTTCAATATGTGTAGATCCAAAACACTGAATTTTTTTTTTTTTTTTTGGATGACGAACAAATTAAAAAGACAAAGAAATCCATCTATGAACATTCAATAAGAATGAAATTATTTTCAGAACAATTGGGAGTAATCAAATCAGGACAGTGAAACTGCATACATTGCAACTGAGTCTCTATCATCCCCTTTCATTGATGAATTAGATTTTGAGAAATAGTTTTGGATAATATTGGAAAGGCTAAGGCAAAGCGAATGAAAATAAAGAACCAAGAGACTTTAGATATACAAATGAAAATATACAAACAAGATTTCTACATGGCATTTAAAGAAATAGAGAACTATGCTTGCTCTTGCAAGACACCTCTTTTAGAACTTATAAAAATCTAGCCTGAAAAGTTAAAAGAAGTAGCCCTAACAGTAACAAGCTCTTCCTCCTACTCAAGTCAATGTGGAAAGACTCTTCTGAACTCAAATCAGATCTGTGGTCCTCTAACAAAGAAGATCTTTCCGAAGTTATATTGTTTCTTAGACACTACTAATGCCAGTTTTTCCATTTCATAATAAATGCTAATTAATATAAATAATTTGCTATGCCATCAATTTTGTTTACTGTAACATCTATTACTTCTTTTAAGCTGTAACCCTTGTGTATATATTTACATATATATGAGGGAGTCGGAGTCTTAAATTCCAGATGTCGAAGTCGGTCATTTTCCCTGCCGACTCCACACCTCTAGTGGTAAGAACTAAAATCTGTGATAAATTTTATCCTTTTCATTTGAAGCATTTTATATTTTAGGTACTTAGTGTATTATCCCATCAACTGAGGAAATTGGCTGCCATAAAACCATGAAAGTTGGTGGAGATCACTCCAGCACTGCACCAGCCTTTCCTGCAGAATTCTAAGTTGCACTTCTAACCACATCTCTCAAAATAACTTTCATCAGTCTCTCTGCATAATCTACCAAATAGCCACGGCTGCGGAAATATTCAACCTGCTTTATATAGACTTTTTTTTTTAAATTATTTTTACTATTTTATTAGGCCATCTGAGTTTTCTTGAAGTTCCAATTAGAATGCTATGCGTATAGACTTCCCACGAATGATTGTTCCAACCTTTCACTGTTTTGTTGGTCATATCCTGCTGTTCTTTTCCTCATTTAACTGATGTAAAATTTTGAAGTCATTAGGTTTATCAATGCAGGAGACATGAAAAATGTGCAATGCTATCGTCAAGATTCAAACTCCAGACCTCCCATTTACATATTGGACATGCTTCCAGTTACACCACGAAGGCACGTTGAAAGGAGAGAGAAAATACCTTATAAATTCTGTCGACCAGATGGACATGAACAAGAGTACAATCATAAATATAGCTCTACAATTGTCAAACACATGTTTTGTTTTTCAATATGTAAGGGGAGTGGGAAACAGCAATATCTGTTAATTTATATCCTTATTCATAGAAATAAAAAGTGGCTTATTTAAAATCAGTTTAGGTTACATCAAACGAAAGTGCATATGTTATGATTGTGTTGTGATATAACATTTATCCATAATTGGTCTTAATCTTGCTGCTTGGCAACAGTTTTACTGTTGAAGAAGTAATATATAAGTTTCATATTTTATTATTGTCTAAGGATCAAAGAATAAGCACTGATATTTAAAATTTTTAATGTATATTTTTTCTCTTTTAAGTAAAATTAGTAAGTAGTCCATATTTTCCTCCTCATTTGATCTAGATAACTTAATGAAAGTTGTCACTGAACTGGGTCATGAGAATCCAACTCCGATTCAAGCACAAGGTTGGCCCATTGCTTTTAGTGGAAGAGATATGGTTGGAGTATCACAAACTGGTTCTGGAAAAACATTTGTTGTGAGTATTTTTTTGTTCATACATTTTTCAGAACATTAAATGAATGTAATAAAGTATAATTAAGACCTATAGTAAGTTATTAAGTGGTCTCGTCCGATGTTTCACTGTACTTTATTTAAGGTATTGTGACCGAAAATTTGATAATTTATAAAGCAGACAGCATGATGCATCACTGCAGTCATTGATGCATATGTTTATGAGGAATTTTGTGTTTCTTACAAATTATCTTCAAAAGCATATACTATTTATTATAAAAAAGTAACCATATTTTTTTAAATGGGTTCAAGCTTTCCAAGTACATACAGATGTGCTGTTGCAGGACATTTTCTCTAAGCCTTTTTCTTCACAAAAGTTTTAAACTTTAATATAGTTTGCTAGTATACATGAAAGATATTACAACCTCAGCAGTTCTGAACTATTGAGTTGATGTTTGCATTTAGGTTGACCATAAATGTGTTATAATTATGATGCCTTTTTTTCAAGACATATTTGAAAATATTCCAAGCTCAGCTACAATTGTATTAGCTTGATATTGAAAATCAACATATTTTCACCTTTTGAGAAATAGCTTAGCAATTTCAATGAGTCACTCAATTCAGTTTTTTTTTTTTTTTTTTTCAAATTAAATATCATTGTTAGAAAATTCTGTGTAATCTTCTCGTGTTATAATATCAACTGAGGTATTTGTCATCAACACAATCTGGTAAATTGGCAGTTGATTTTAAATATATTATGTCTACATCTTAGCACATCGTCAGTTACTAGAAGTTCTGCCATCTCTAAGACAAGATATTTATTTTTCAAATTGAAACTAGAAAAGAATCTGGGCAGTTTAAAAGCAATGTAATTATTTCTTTAATAAAATATATATTTATTTTTTAATAATGTTATTAATTGATGTAATTTATAATAGTTCTAATTGGTCTAATTTATAACATCTAAAAAATTTTATATATGCTTGTTTTGTATGTGTAATTAGTTAAAATCCCATTAATGCCATATATATATGTGATATTTTCCAGCAGTCGTGATGAAGCTTGGCGTTGCTTTTGCAGAGTGGTAAGGCGGAATCCAAATGATGAGACAAGATGATTTAGCTTTTAATTGCACATCTTTATTCCATAGCTTTAATTCAATTTTCACCATAGATCATGCTTTACTTCATATGAAATTCTCCAAATTACATATTCAATAGTGGTTTAAACCAAGTACGATTTAATTTAAACTTTCTGCGTCATCACTATTTCTAACGAAGGAAAGATAATTTAAGCAGCAGCGAGAGGCAAGCTTCTGTCCGCAAAATGGCATTATTTATAGTGGCTGTTACATAATAGGCTAGAATGTTCTCAAAGTTACTGGTCTAGGGAGAGATCCTAAATTGTGGAAAGTTAATTAGAGGTTGCCTGTTCACATAGAGCAAAGCCATCGTATTTTTTATATTTTACATATATTTGACCTTCATGGAATAATCACTTGCATATTTTAAGTTGCACATTTTCGAATTATGTTGTTAAAAATTTTTTTAATAATTAATAAAAGATGTTTCCAACATCATATGTTTTATGCTTTGTTATAGAAGTATCATCACCATTGTATGGCAAAAACTTTGCTACATTTTAAAAGTTTTTTAAAAAAATAATTGGAATGGTTTGTAGCTGCCCTTCTGGGTGGAAATGACATTTTGGTGCCAAATAGTATGTGTGAAAAAAAATTAATTTTCCTTCATTAAAAATATATGACTAATAATAGTAAAAAAGAAGTTTTCCTTTTATTTTTAGTCTTGTATTTTAATATGTGGTGTTAGAAACGTCTTTTATTAACTATAAAAATACTTTTTTAACAAAAATAAATAAAAAATAATAATCTGATTATTATTTTGTGTTCAGATAGTTAAATTCAACTTCAGATTTAAGAAAAGGGCCAGTTTTGAAATATTTGGGTAAATTTTAAAAGACAAAGAACACATTTATTTTCTACCTGTATTACTGAATTCATTTGGAGCTGGTGTCTTCTGTGAAGGGAAGGAAACATTTTTAAAAGTAGATTTCTTAATTAAATGGATCCCTTTAAAATTGTTATGTGTCTAGATATTTAAAAATGATTAAACCTGTGTTTTAATCATTCATGGTAAAAATGTCACTCATAGATTATTTTATGAGAATTTATTTATGAATTTTCTTAATGAATGAAAAATGTTAATGTATGTGTTTTTATATGTGAAAGAGACTGATTTATTTGAAGGAAATTTTAATACTTAACTTTTACTGTTTAGTTCTCAGGTATCCTCAGATTAATTTGTAAATCCATTGTAAATATTGTTTGTTCTCTTACTGTTTGTAAATTTAACAGGTACATATGCTAATGGTAAAATGTGTGGTGGTATCAAAATGTTTTTAACTACTGATGTTTTGAACTTTGAAAAGTGGCTGACTTGCGATTTTTATGGACACCATCTTTCTTAAAGTATATCCTTAACAGTTGACATAATTTTTGAAAGATTTTTTATCATGCTGTTCAGCAGCAGATGTGAAAAATGCAGAAATATTCCAAGACCTGACTATGATAGATCTACTAATGTAGATAGGCCAGTTTTGGGGGATATTCTGTAATTATTACTTATTTCTGTCCTTTGCAACAGAAATACAAATATCTTGAAAATTGCTATATAAAATGCCAACTTTGAATTGCATGACTATTCTATGGGAGTAAGCAGAAATGAAAGAATGAAGTTTATACTATTGAATCCCTTCTCTCCAGCCGTCTGGTATAGGCTAGAGTGTATATCTAGATCTAGAGGTTGGGGTATGCTAGAAATTGCAATTATGATTCAAATAGTATTACTGATGCCCATCAGAGTTGACATATGTCACATGTGTGAGTTATGCCAGGCTTTAGTACATTGTTGTTTGAACCATAAATATGTAGATATCTGATAGTAATGAAACTTTTCCATTTATATATATGTAATGATTTCAAATGCATAGATGATAGGCCAGTTTTTGGGGATATTCTGTAATTATTACTTATTTCTGTCCTTTGCAACAGAAATACAAATATCTTGAAAATTGTTATATAAAATGCCAACTTTGAATTGCATGACTATTCTATGGGAGTAAGCAGAAATGAAAGAATGAAGTTTATACTATTGAATCCCTTCTCTCCAGCCGTCTGGTATAGGCTAGAGTGTATATCTAGATCTAGAGGTTGGGGTATGCTAGAATTGCAATTATGATTCAAATAAGTATTACTGATGCCCTATCAGAGGTTGACATATGTCACATGTGTGAGTTATGCCAGGCTTTAGTACATTGTTGTTTGAACCATAAATATGTAGATATCTGATAGTAATGAAACTTTTCCATTTATATATATGTAATGATTTCAAATGCATAGATGAAAGCAGTGGAACTCTTGAAAATCACAATCTTTATTTTTTACATGCATCAAATCATCCTTTTTCAGACAAGATGTTTCCTAGTTATATTTGAATACATAAATTGCAGTTTGAATTAGAATAATCTAGTAGTATAGCAGCAGCATGGTTTAAAACCATCTGCCAGCAGAAAGGTATGCGGAAAAAAAGGTTGGGTACTTTCATAGGAAGAGGCTGGGAGGGGAAGTTTCGTTCAGAGTTTGGTTTAGAATTAATTTGATTGGACAAGAGGTATCTGCATTAAAAGGTTACACAAGATAGAAAAAACTCTGGAACCTGTGAGAAGAGATGAATTTAGGGGTAGATCATTAAATTTAAATGTTATTTGAGGTCATCAATTATATTTTGAAACAGCTATCATATTTGTTATATCTACAATCCCTCCTTCAAAGAAAGTTATGTGACAGAGTGAAGAAAAGCATTAGAGCACAAAATGTTAAAGTTTAATTGTGAAATACAAAACTATTTACTTTTTTTAAAACAAAAATTTTGCCAGAAAAATTTGACGTTTTTGAATTAATCGTAAATTTTTAAACATTTTAGTGTATTATTTTTAAACAAAGCATTTTAGAGTTCTGAGGTAAAGTCAATAAATTTTGTAAATTCCACACAGTAAATTCAAAATATTTATCAAAGAAATGCTCAAATAAAGTTTTCCAAATTTGTTGAGAAATATTTCTATATAATACATTTAAATGCCAATTTTCATGTTATTTAATTATGTTTATTAGGGAGTATTTTAAAATATAAAAATTTTGTAACACATCATTCATAAACGCACCAAATTTTAAATTTTTCACTATTATTAGACATTTTAAAATTTACGATTCTTTACAAACTTGAAGACTCACAACTTTATCTAAATACTAGTATTTCCAATATGGTTTACAGTGAGCAACTGGTTGTTTAATATCTTCACCCAATGGCCAAAGATTTGCCAATTGAGTTCTGTAGAAAAGGCCTCGTCCTTTTCGAGGCAACTGGCCTTTTTCGAATGCTGTCTTCCATACGAATATTAAAAACACACCCAATTTATGAAAAATAAAAACTTAGATTAAAACATGTATTTTTTACGGTGAGGCTTTCACTTTAATCATAAAAATTAAAGAATTAACTCAAAATTTCAACGTGCTTATTCTTCTACAATAAAATTAAAAAATAAATTCGAATTTACCCTAGTCAAAAATCTTATTCACCTTAGGAAACTCCCGAAGTCAAACCTTCAAATTCTTTCCAATTTTTTCAATTCAATTTTTATTTCCATTCAGAACTGACAAAACTAGATTTTAAATAAAAGAAATTTTTTCTCAACTTTGACGCTCATATGATTAAGCAAATATTACCATTAATAAATCATAAAACAGGCAGTTACTTTAAATGCAAATTACTTAATGGAAAGTCATTCAAAAACACAATTTACTCCACTTGGAAGTATACCCACCATATCAATTGGGACCTATGATAAGCATCTTAGAATAGAAGAATTTCCGAATAAAGCACGAACATGCAAGAAGCACAAAATACTATTTAGCATTTCTTATTCACTATGAGTTGATGACCTTCAAGC